GGTAGGGGCGTCGGCTCAAGGCATCAGCATTCCCATTTTTGGGACCTGGGACATAGGTAATATGTAAATCATACTGTGAAAGTAGTATGCTCCAACGACCCAGGCGTCCCGTTGCATCTTTGATCGTGTTCAAGTATTGCAGAGCTGCATGATCTGTGATCACAGTACAGTGGCTGTCAGCCAGGAAGGGGTGGTAATGTTTGAGGCCCAGAACAATAGCAAGACACTCTTTTTCTGTGATTGAATATTTCTTCTGTGTCGGGGTTAGGCTTTTCCCTGCAAATGAGATGGGGTGTTCCTTGCCGTCAGTACCTTTTTGTGATAACACAAACCCCACACACTGTTCTGAAGCGTCACACACCAGGATGAAGGGTCTAGAGAAGTCTGGGTATGCCAGGATAGGCGCGGAGGTCAATGCTGTCTTAAGTGTTGTAAAAGCGTTTTCTGCTGATGTGGTCCAAGTGTAAGGGATGTCCTTTCGTAGGAGATAGTGGAGTGGTTCCACAATGCTGGCATAACCTTTGATAAACTTTCGGTAGTATCCTGCCAACCCCAAGAAGGATCTAAGTGCTTTGGTGCCAGTAGGTTGAGGATAGTTGATGACGCTGTCTACCTTGGCGGGGTCCATTGCGACGCCATCTTTAGATATGACATGACCCAGATAATGGATGGTGGAGAGGGAAAAATGACACTTAGAAGGTTTAAGTTTCAAGTTTGCCATCCTGAGTTTGCCAAAGACCGCTTCTAAGTGGTCCAGATGTTCTTCGAATGTTCTGGAGTAGATCAAGAGATCATCCAAGTAGCTTAAGACAGATTTCCATGACATGGAGGAGAATAAGGACGAAATAATGAAGGAAAAGCAGCTTGGGGCATTTACCAATCCGAACGGCATGACCTTGAACAGATATGCCCCTTCCCCTTGTACGATAAAGGCGGTTTTCTGTTTACTGTCCTCGGCCATCGGAACTTGGTGATATCCAGCCATTAGATCCAGGCTCGTGTAGTAACTTGCTTGGCTTGTTCCGAGTGACATGAGGGATTGGTCGATATTAACCAAAGGCCAATGTTCAATTGAGGTGATTTTGTTAAGTCGGCGAAAATCTACACAGAATCTCGTCGTCGAGTCCTTTTTTTTAACCAGTAGTACAGGGGCGGCCCAGGGTGAGAAGGAAGGCTCGATGATATTATGATCCAACGTTTGTTGTAAATGTTTGCCAAGTTCTTCACGTTGGTTTGGGTTGACTGGATAAGGTCTTTGTCATAATGGATGGTGAGAACCCGTGTCAATGTGGCATTCGAAGAGGTGGGTGCGTCCCAATTCTGTGATGTCTTTGGCAAAGACGTCCCGATGTTGGCCCAAGAACAACAGCAAGATGTTTCGTTCCTTAGCAGTAAGGTTGGCCTGAGTTAAGTCTAGACTCAGTTCTGTAGCTTGGTTGCGGTATTCATTCTGCGTACATTCATCAAGCCGAAGAAGTTTGTTTAATATTGAGGGCGGCAAGGTTGACTTCTCGTAGTACTGGTCATCTATGTTGGTTGGAGTCCTAAGGTCACTGGGAATGGCCTTCCTATTGTCAGGTGACAACTCCGTCAGCGACTGATCATCAATGTTGACAGTTGACTTCCCGAGTGATGACCGATCATCCATGTTGACAGTTGACATCTTGACTGATGATTGACAATTTATGTTGACGGTTGGTTGAAGTGCATTTCGAATGACATCCATGTTGACGGTTGACACCTCTGTTGATGAATGAGCATCCATGTTATCAGTTGATACCTCTGATGGTGAATGGCCATCTATGTTAACAGTTGACACCTCGGATGGTGACCGTCCATCTATGTTGACAGTTGACACCTTTGATGATGAATGGCCATCTACGTTGACAATTGACCCCATTGATGAAGAATGGTCATCTGTGTTGACAGTTGACACCTTTGATGATGAATGGTCATCTATGTTGACAGTTGACACCTTTGATGATGAATGGCCATCTATGTTGACAGTTGACACCTTTGATGATGAATGGCCATCTATGTTGACAATTGACCCCATTGATGAAGAATGGTCATCTGTGTTGACAGTTGACACCTTTGATGATGAATGGTCATCTATGTTGACAGTTGACCTATCTGTATTCCGTATCTCTGAATCCTCCATCAATAAGTGGACCCCCAAATCAAAATCTTCCTCCAACGTTTCAAAATTTGCTACCACCGTTCCTGTGGGGATATTTACTGTGGTGTTTTGAGGATTTAACACTTGGAAGGGTGCGCTTGTCTTGTCTAAAGACACTAGACAGTGGCTGCCAACTATCGAATAAATTTGTGCAAGTGTGGTAGAAGGTTGCAATATGCCGGTGAGCCCATTGGTTCCGGATGTGATTTGTACTGAAAAACAAGCTTCTGTGTAGGGGGGAATGGTAAGCAAGCTTCCCGTACGAGCTGGTAAAGTGTGGTATGGTGTTAAGAAGGGTGTAGCTGTGAGACCCTTGTGTAGGACTAACTGTCGTTTGGTAAAATCTATCGAAGCTACGTGATCAGTTAGGAAATCTAATCCCAATATGACATCTTGTTGTAACCCCTCAACGACATAAAAAGTCTGAGACAGTTTTAGATGTGCTACTGTGACTGGTAGTGTCACCACTCCTGTTATTGTAAGTGGCGTGCCATCTGCCCCAACTAGTTTAACCCGTGGAGCTTGTGGGGGGTGTAGTGTTTCATTGATGCCCAAACTCTGGTAATGAGGTAAGTTGAGACATGAAGATGAAGCACCAGTGTCTACTAGTGCTCGGAAATCATGAGATTTAATGCTGATGGCTATCATACTGTTTGCCAGGTGTATACTGTTGATTGTCTGCAGGGACGGTACGATAACGGGAGGGGGGGAGGTGGTGTGAGGTCCCCCGTGGTTGGCTGAATGTCGTTGATGCTTGACGTCGATTCCTGTCTCAGAATGTATTCCATTACCAGTCACCGTGTGATGTTGTTCTGATTTGCTTCCAACAGCCCAATCTAAGTGAGTAGGGGATGCCATCTGTTTGGCTTCCCATGTCTAACGTAGGGGTGTCAGGTAGGTTATTCACATGTTGTTTCGTAGAGGACTGTGTTCTGGAAGAGTTTATTTGTTGGAGAAGGGAAGTGGGTAGGAGACTACCTGGGCCCTTATCGTGATGTTCCAACACTTGTTGTTCTACGGGAGTGTCCACTGGTGTGGAGGGGGAATCGAGGAGGAAACTAACTCTCCTCTCAGTGGATGGTTTCGATTTCGTGCACTCCAATGGGGGGGTTTGTCATTTGTGGGGGGTGGGTGGGTTGGAGGCTGCCTGTCTGACTATTGTCGGGGGCGGCTTGTACTGTCAACTGAGGGGAGGCAGCGGGTGTCGACCCCTGTATACTGATGGCTGAATGAGGAGCTGGCTCACTTTGCACATCTCTGCTTTGTGGAATGTCAGAATGTGGATAGCATTGTGTGTGGTAGTGAGTGGGACTATTTTCAATTACTTGGCGTCAAATTGGGGGTAGTTGTGTTGTACACTGTCGAGCAATGTGTCCCTGTTTATTGCAACGAAAGCAATGTATTAATCTGACCCTACATTCTCTGGGGTGGGTATGCGCCATACCGCATCCCCGACACGTATATGAACGAGTGTTCTGTATCGGATTCCGTTGGGGGGCATAACCTTCTGTCTTATACTGATAGTTCTTCTGAGGCAAGTACCGATCCTTACGATTGTTGGGTGATCCCACCTGGGTGTAAGTATAATTCTGTGCTTGGTAATTTCTTTGTCGAGTAGGTGTTGCCAGGTGTTCTGAGTAATTTGGTGTATCTTGTGGTATTTGGTGTTGTAAATACTGACTTAAATCTACCACATTTACAGGTTGTGTCGTACTTTGACGTGAGTTGGTGGTAAGCTCATCTACCTGTTCACTCAACAAATGAATGGCATGCATGACCTGTGAATCGTTTTCAGGGCAATCAGTCGCGTCAGCGATTTCCGCGCTTCGTACCACCTCCGCTAGGGTAGAGTGTGGCCTAGTGAGTACAAATCTTTTGACATTTTGGCAAGCATTCCTAAGAACGAGATCCCTGATAAAATCGTCATTGTTCCTGCCAATAATCGCTGCCTGGTGCCTGACTGCTTGTAGAAAGTCGGCAAATGGTTCGGCCTGTTTTTGTTTTCTATCAATAAGTTCATTTGCTCTATTTAGCATTACTATTGAATTTGGGGCGTAACGCTGGAGGAATGCCTTCTTAAGGCTTTGCAATGAGCAATTGTCTTTAGCTACTGTCCCTTCAAACCAGTGTGCGGCCTGTGCTGATAGATATAAGGGAAACAGTTCCTGCTTTTCCTCCTCCGTGTAACCATGTACTCTACAGTAACGTTCATACTTTTTTAACCATCCCTCAGCTTTTAGGGGATCCTGGCCATCATATGGATTCATTGGCACCGCGGACAGTGAAACAGCCCTTGTGATGGTGTGCGTGGGGTCCCCCCTCACTGGAGAACTGGAATTTGCGCTATACGGGGGAGCCAGTGTATTTGTCTGGTAAGCTGGGGGGGCAGTACAACTGGGAACGTTAACCGTACTCGTGATGGGGGTGGTAAATATATCCGGCTGTGTCAGCTGGGGGCCCGTTACAGGAGTGTTGAAGGGTGACCATTGAAATGGCAGAGGGGGGTGGTCCAGTATCAAGCTACTAGGCGCTGGAATAGGTGAGACCATTGACATTACAGTTGTAGTGCTAGTCATGGTTGTGGCGCTAGCTATGTCATCAGGGCATACTTCATTACTAGCAGGTGGTGATGAAAACAGTGCCGACCAGGCTGGGTTGGAAGTAGGGACTGGTGTCAGGCATTGTTGGTTTACCGGCTTCACCGATATTGGTTTATCAGTAACGTGAGGAGTAAGTGGCATGATTAATTCAGGGATCTCGCTCTTTTACAATGTATACACGTATGGATATATACAATCTCATGCATCAAAGATCTGCTTACCCGAATGACTTGGTCCCAAGAACTTGGCACCACGCACAAAAGTCAAACGTCAAAAATGTCACCACTTATGGTTCTGTTCAGATTTCTTTCACTTCTCCCGTCCTCTTGATTCGGCACCCTTCAGTCCCTTTCCCATCGTCCCCCTTGATCTCGGTGTGGTCGTGGCTGTGCAGCCGTCTGCACCGTTCCTTCCCGTGTCAGTGATCTCTTTCCCGGTGACCGTTCCAGAACGGTTACTTCACCCGCTCTACTTTTCTGCGTTATTAACTGACTGGCGTAATACTGTACGCAGTTACCTTACTTGTGCAACCGCTGCACAAGTCCAGTTTCACTTGCGCAACCGCTGCGCAATATTACTTTGTTCGTGCACCCGCTGAAAAACGTCACCCGACAATACCTTTTGTCATCAATCGCTGTACCACGTCACTTTTATCTGTGCGACCGCCGCACCGTTCTGCTTTCGCTTGCGCAACTGCTGCGCAGCGTTATCTTACTAGTGCACCCGCTGCACAACGTTACCCGACAATGCCTTTTGGACTGCCAGGGAAGATCGTACCCCGCATCAGTCCACCACGTATCCAAGGTATATTTACGATGGTAAAATACGGTAATTGTTGTTGATTACCCGGATGGCAATTCGAGTACTTCTTCGACCTAACCACGGTAATCCCCTCGTTTCTGGTGCTGACGCTCGGGGACGAGCGAGAGGTACAATGTCAGTACCCGAGGGCCTTGGATTTATTACCGTAGTTACTCCAACAACTACAAAGAGTGATCTTCGTTCAACAGCTTTTATTCACTCTAGTGTTGTTGGTCAACCCACTCTATGGTCACTTGATAATTACAGGACTTCGGCCGCAAGGCTTCAATCCCTAGTCCAAATACTGGAGGTTTGTATGTTTCTTTTCGAATATTAGAACGCGACCACAGTGTTCAAGTGGGATCCTCCAGCCGTCCTGAACCCCCGTTTCCTTCTCTTTTTACTCCTGACTTACGTCATGGCCTTACTCATTTTTTCCATTGTCATTGGCCATCCACCTATCTCCCCTGACATTAGGTCGTCCTAGCCCACTGTCGTCTAATCTCTAGGTTCTTTTTAGGACTTGTGGTAATGTGACCGTCTTGACTTCCAGAGTCTGTACTGTCACCCCCCAAACCATATATGAATCCGAGGGCAATTTCCCTTACGTTTCTTTTCCCAATCTATTTCGTCTTTGGCAACCTGTATGTTCCCTTGTTATGTTACCTTTATTGTTTTGCTCTATCACCCCGACCCTCGACCTAGTACTGTAACCCCTGGTTAACAGTGACCCAGTATGTCTCCTGTGTTCAATTCCTATATCGCCTGACCTTCCTATATCTTCCCATGTGTTATACCTATTTCTTACTCTGTTAGCCCCTCATCTTGTTTATTTATATAATTACTATGAGTGTCTTAATGACTTGTTAATTACTATTCTTTTATCTATTATTTTATGCCTATAATAAATGTTCCTTCACTGCTTATCACACCAGTACAGGTAACTCACGTGTAAATATTCCTTTACTGCCTATCACACCAGTATAGCTAACTTACGTGTAAATGTTCCATCCCTGCTCATCACACCAGTACAGCTAAATCACGTGTAGCTATTCCTTTCCTGCTCATCACACCAGTACAGGTAACTCACGTGTAAATATTCCTTTACTGCCAATCACACCAGTACAGCTAACTCACTTGTAAATGTTCCTTCCCTGCTCATCACTCCAGTACAGCTAACTCATGTGTAGCTATTCCTTTCCTGCTCATCAAACCAGTACAGCTAACTCGCGTGTAAATATTCCTTCACTGCTTATCACACCAGGACAGCTAACTCACGTGTAAATGTTCCTTCACTGCTTATCACACCAGTACAGCTAAGTCACGTGTAAATGTTCCTTCCCTGTTCATCACACCAGTACAGCTAACTCATGTGTAAGTATTCCATCCCTACTCATCACACCAGTACAGCTAACTCACGTGTAAATATTCCTTCACTGCTTATCACACCAGTACAGGTAACTTACGTGTAAATATTCCAGCACACACATCACACCAGCACAGCTAACTCACGTGTAAATATTCGTTCCCTACTTATCACACCAGTACAGGTAACTCACGTGTAAATATTCCTTCACTGTTTATAACACCAGTAGAGCTTACTCACGTGTAAATGTTCCTTCCCTGCTCATCACACCAGTACAGCTAACTCACGGGTAAATATTCCATCCCTACTCATCACACCAGCAGAGCTAACTCACGTGTAAATATTCCTTCCATACTTATCACACCAGTACAGGTAACTCACGTGTAAATATTCCTTCACTGCTTATCACACCAGTACAGCTAACTCACGTGTAAATATCCCATCCCTACTGATCACACCAGTACATCTAACTCACGTGTAAATATTCCTTTACTGCTTATCACACCAGTACAGCTAACTCAAGTGTAAATGTTCCTTCCCTGCTCATCACACCAGTACAGGTTAATCACGTGTAAATATTCCATCCCTACTGATCACACCGGTACAGCTTACTCACGTGTAAATATTCCTTCACTGCTTTTCACACCAGTACAGGTAACTCACGTGTAAATATTCCTACACTGCTTATCACACCAGTACAGGTAACTCACGTGTAAATATTCCTTTACTGCCTATCACACCAGTATAGCTAACTTACGTGTAAATGTTCCTTCCCTGCTCATCACACCAGTACAGCTAAATCACGTGTAGCTATTCCTTTCCTGCTCATCACACCAGTACAGCTAACTCCCGTTTAAATATTTCTTCACTGCTTATCACACCAGGACAGCTAACTCACCTGTAAATGTTCCTTCATTGCTCATCACACCAGTACAGGTAACTCACGTGAAAATGTTCCTTTCCTGCTCATCACACCAGTACAGCTAACTCACGTGTAAACATTCCTTCACTGCTTATCACACCAGTACAGGTAACTCACGTGTAAATGTTCCTTTCAGGCTTATCGCACCAGGGCAGGTAACTCACGTGTAAATGTTCCTTCCCTACTCATCACACCAGTACAGGTAACTCACGTGTAAATATTCCTTCACTGCTTGTCACACTTGTTTCGGTTACTCACGTGTAAATATTCCTTCACTGCTTATCACACCAGTACAGGTAACTCACATGTAAATGTTCCTTCCCTGCTCATCACATCAGTACAGCTAACTCACGTGTAAATATTCCTTTACTGCCTATCACACCAGTATAGCTAACTTACGTGTAAATGTTCCATCCCTGCTCATCACACCAGTACAGCTAAATCACGTGTAGCTATTCCTTTCCTGCTCATCACACCAGTACAGGTAACTCACGTGTAAATATTCCTTTACTGCCAATCACACCAGTACAGCTAACTCACTTGTAAATGTTCCTTCCCTGCTCATCACTCCAGTACAGCTAACTCATGTGTAGCTATTCCTTTCCTGCTCATCAAACCAGTACAGCTAACTCGCGTGTAAATATTCCTTCACTGCTTATCACACCAGGACAGCTAACTCACGTGTAAATGTTCCTTCACTGCTTATCACACCAGTACAGCTAAGTCACGTGTAAATGTTCCTTCCCTGTTCATCACACCAGTACAGCTAACTCATGTGTAAGTATTCCATCCCTACTCATCACACCAGTACAGCTAACTCACGTGTAAATATTCCTTCACTGCTTATCACACCAGTACAGGTAACTTACGTGTAAATATTCCAGCACACACATCACACCAGCACAGCTAACTCACGTGTAAATATTCGTTCCCTACTTATCACACCAGTACAGGTAACTCACGTGTAAATATTCCTTCACTGTTTATAACACCAGTAGAGCTTACTCACGTGTAAATGTTCCTTCCCTGCTCATCACACCAGTACAGCTAACTCACGGGTAAATATTCCATCCCTACTCATCACACCAGCAGAGCTAACTCACGTGTAAATATTCCTTCCATACTTATCACACCAGTACAGGTAACTCACGTGTAAATATTCCTTCACTGCTTATCACACCAGTACAGCTAACTCACGTGTAAATATCCCATCCCTACTGATCACACCAGTACATCTAACTCACGTGTAAATATTCCTTTACTGCTTATCACACCAGTACAGCTAACTCAAGTGTAAATGTTCCTTCCCTGCTCATCACACCAGTACAGGTTAATCACGTGTAAATATTCCATCCCTACTGATCACACCGGTACAGCTTACTCACGTGTAAATATTCCTTCACTGCTTTTCACACCAGTACAGGTAACTCACGTGTAAATATTCCTACACTGCTTATCACACCAGTACAGGTAACTCACATGTAAATATTCCTTTACTGCCTATCACACCAGTATAGCTAACTTACGTGTAAATGTTCCTTCCCTGCTCATCACACCAGTACAGCTAAATCACGTGTAGCTATTCCTTTCCTGCTCATCACACCAGTACAGCTAACTCCCGTTTAAATATTTCTTCACTGCTTATCACACCAGGACAGCTAACTCACCTGTAAATGTTCCTTCATTGCTCATCACACCAGTACAGGTAACTCACGTGAAAATGTTCCTTTCCTGCTCATCACACCAGTACAGCTAACTCACGTGTAAACATTCCTTCACTGCTTATCACACCAGTACAGGTAACTCACGTGTAAATGTTCCTTTCAGGCTTATCGCACCAGGGCAGGTAACTCACGTGTAAATGTTCCTTCCCTACTCATCACACCAGTACAGGTAACTCACGTGTAAATATTCCTTCACTGCTTGTCACACTTGTTTCGGTTACTCACGTGTAAATATTCCTTCACTGCTTATCACACCAGTACAGGTAACTCACATGTAAATGTTCCTTCCCTGCTCATCACATCAGTACAGCTAACTCATGTGTAAGTATTCCATCCCTACTCATCACACCAGCACAGCTAACTCACGTGTAAATATTCCTTCACTGCTCATCACACCAGTACAGGTAACTCACGTGTAAATATTCCTTCACTGCTCATCACACAAGTACAGCTAACTCACGTGTAA